TTCCTCTTATCATCTGTACATCCTAGAATCCTACCATTCATATATACTCCTTTGCCTTGTCAGTCCTCCCATCACCTCACACAACTGTTTTACAAAATGGTCCATTACAAAAGTTATTGCTCTGGCCTGAAATAAGACAATCAAAATTCTGATTCCTTTATATGTAGAAACTATACAAATAAATAAATCTGAAATTAATTGCCACATCTAAATAATTACCTTGTAAAGACAAAATAATCATGACACAAGCCAGTTCCTAATCTAAAAACCAAAAGAACTGCAGATGCTGTAAGTCAGGAACAAAAACAAAGTTGCTAGAAAAGCTCAGCAGGTCTGGCAGCATCTGTGAAGGAGAAAACAGAGTTAACGTTTCAGGTCCGGTGTCCGGTTCTGAGGAAGGGTCGCTGGACCTGAAACGTTAACTCAGTTTTCTCCTTCACAGATGCTGCCAGACCTGGTGAGCTTTTCCAGCAACTTTGTTTTTGTTCCAGTTCCTAATCTGACCTGTTACAGTAAAGGAACTGATTATCAATGTTCAATGTTTGAGGTTATTCCCAATATTGGACCAGAGCAGAACTTAGATGAATGATTTTTTAAATCATTTTTTGAAATTTTATTAATTTCTTCATTCCTACCTTTAGAAGTTTTATAGATTAAAAAGTACTTCGCCAAAACACTAAAAAACAAATCTTCCAGGATTAGCAGGATTTCATTATGAAACTCACCTTCTTTGTCCAATTCATAACATCTGTGATATTCACTTCTCATTCAAGATAAAAGAGAACAGAATGTATTTTCTTCAAGGATCTTTTAAAGCTGGTATTGTAAATTAGATATGCTAATGTGTCATTCTTTAGACAAAAGCATAACCTTCCTTTTTGGCCTTACGGATCCCATTCTTTTCATTAAGTGAATAAATCATTTAGACTGCCGCTGATTTAGATATCAGATGGCTGCAATTGAAACAAACTCATTAGGGATTTAGATTGAAGAAAATGATCAGTTCACCTCTTGCGGTGATGAATCAGCTTCCAATCTTTCAGATATAACACATCTGATCCGCTAGATGGGTTTCTGCAGGAGGTCTATTAGTGATGGTAAAAGGATAAAAAGGGAGATTGGGCTTCTCTGAAATGCCTCAGGTTCCATACGCACACCGCCTTTGGCTCGAGGCAGAACCAGTGCAAGAATGAATGCCTCCGTTTACATAGCTCTTTTTATTTCTGTGTTGTTTAATGTAGAACTCTCCATTTCATCTGCTGTGGGACAGTTGGAAGACAGCAAGGTGCCACAGAATGACTTTAACCAAGAAATGTTGGCAAACGCTGATCTACCAGAGCAACTGAGGTCTTCAGGCCTGATCAAAATCTACCAGCTCCAGCAACCGGACAAAGTAAACTCAGAAGTATGACTTATCACAGTAAATTCTCGCTTTAAATGTGTAACTTATTCTTTCATTATCAGAAGGAAAATGTATTCAATTAACCCTAAAAGGTTTAATGTAAGTTGTTAAAATTTATTTGCTCCATCAGCATTAGGGGCCTTCAAGGAGACACCAAGAAGTTATTTGGGAGAATTAGTAGCTCCCTCTCATTCTATAAGAGGTCTTAATGGGGTAGATAAGGGGAAATGGTTTCCACTGCCAGAGGGTTATTTGACTCATTGTAGTATGTAACCAATTCTCTTTTACAAGTTCCTATTCAATCTGTTTCAACTACCCTTACAGGTAAAACATTCCAAGTCACAATTCGAAGCAGAATTTTTTTCTCAACTCCTACACTATACCTAATGGCAATTACCCTAAATCTGTGACCCCTGGTTACGGATCTCCTGGAAACAATTTCTTATTATATATTGTATGAACATCACTCTACATTCGTTCACCAGCATAATTACTACTTCTTTCACTTTCTCTATTGCAAGGAAAAATCCCAGATTCTGTAGACTTGCCACATCCCTGAAATGCCTGCTATCTGCCTTTATAGTTCAGCCTCTAATAGTTCTCCCTTTGGTTTCAAATAGTCTTAAAAGTCAATGTCATTGATCGCATAATTGCTCGCCTAGTGTAAAGGCTCTATCTTCGGCTCGTTGTTAAATTTTTGCCCTCTTTACAATCCTTTGAAACAACCTTGGGATGTTCTTAAAAACATCACTCTCGTCTTCTGTTTAGGATTTAGGTTTTAGGATGGACCCCAAAATTATTCAACCACCTTTTATGGCTGCTAGCCAGAGGTTATTCAAACGACCTTTCACCTCGTATGAGTCTATGAAAAAGCCACTGTACTACTCAGCTAAGAGGACGGATGCTCCTGAAAGCTCAAATCAACTGGAACAGTTTGAGATGTTAGAGGCACATCGAGCCACTGATGTTGGAGAAAATGGGGCTGTGCTTCCTGTGGGCAGAAGAGATTTTGACAGTAAGTTTTTGGTATGCTGAAACAGCTGTTGAGTTGTGATATGCAGTTACTGGGGGAAAAGAGGCAAGTTCAGGGTGTTATTTATCGAGCAATCTGCATTGATTTTTAATTTTGATTCACATGAATTGGCTTCATTTTCTAAAGCTTATGCTGTAGCCCATCTGTCGCTGGTAGATAAGTTATTTCACAGTTCTATCTCCTCTGTGGTGATTGACTCCAGAATGTCACTTTTCCAGACAGCTCTGGTATGGGGTAAACTGTTCTGGCCATTCACAGTTTTGGACAAATTAGTGTGTAGAGTGACTTACAAACACAAACCACATCATTTTTATTATCGTCCTGGCACCCACCCAAGAAGTGGGGGTAGGTCAAAACCTGGTGTTGAACTTACGGATAGGAACAGGATTTTATTTGATTTGAATAATTACTGTCACATGTACCAAAGTGCAGTGAAAAGTGTTGTCGTACATACTTTACAGGCAGTTCGTACCATACATGCATATCAGGCTAACAGAAAAGAGTGCAAGATATAATCCTACAACTGCTGAGTAGGCCATTCAGCCCAGCAAGCCTGCTTTGTCATTCAACAGAATCATGGCCAAACAAACACTTCTTTTACACACCCATCCCCACCTCTTGGGTACAGGACCTCAAATCAATGAGGCAGCAGTACTGAGGGAGTGCTGCACACTTGGAGGTGTCACTTTGCAGATGAGAGATTAAATTCAAAGTCTGGCAGGTCTAGATATATTCAAGAGGGAGCTGGACATGGCCCTTGTGGCTAAAGGTATCAATGGGTATAGACAGAAAACAGGGAGTGGGATATTGAGATTACATGATCAGCTGTAACCAAAGTGGATGGTGGTGCTCGAAGGGCTGAATGGCCTAGTCTTTCACCTATTTTCTATGTCTGTCCCAGGTCAAAATTTAACTGAGCGTTTATCATCCTGGCAGTTGTAAAATACAGATGTTGGACTGGCTCCCGCATATATCTGCAGAGCAATGGGACTGAAATTCAAATTATACCTCCAAAATCAAAGCACTGGAACAAGAGGAGACCATTCAGCCCCTCAAGCCTATCCTGTCATTCAATTTGATTACAGTTGATCTGTATCTGGATGCCAACTACCCCCTAAAATCTAGAAGGTTTTGTTTAGAAAATTTCATTTGATTCTCCCAAGCTCTTCCCCCCCTATCTAGGTTCAAGAGCTTTTTTTGGAGGGTTAAACAGATTATTCCAGATTTCCACAACCCCTTATGTGGAAGAAGTGCTTCCTGACTGCAGTTCCAAATGACCTGACTTTCACTTTAAGATTAAACCACCTTGTTTTGTTCTTTAATGTTTTCATGATGGTGGTAAATTGATTCACCTGCCTACCCATAATCTAAGGTTATAGCGGGGAGAGGGGTGTTAAGATGGGAATGAGAATCCAATACACTAACAGATCAGCCATGATCTTATTGAAGAGCAGAATGGCCTATTCCTATTCCCAATTTAGATGTTCTACACTCTCCCAGACACCCCAAACAGAGAAAGAGTTTCTACTTATCAGTTCCTTTATCTTTTTTAAAGTAACCCACCAAATCACCCAACTAATCTACTTAACAAATAAACAGTTAACAAGCACTGCACCAGGGGCAACGCAACAATAACAAAGTGAAGGGAAAAAAGAGACAGAGGGGACTAAATTAAAATGGTGTTAGAGGGGAACAGAATGCCAAACTCCACGGTGCCCATCTCTATCTAATTGCCTCACAGGCACCGGATACTCCTACCCATGGTTGGGCACCCAGGCATGAACATATACACTGAAGAGTCTTCAAATCCCTACAGTGTGGAAACAGGCCATTTTTTTTCCTTATTCATTAACGGGTTGAGGGCGTTGCTGGCTAGGCAGCATTTATTGCCCATCCCTAGTTGCCCAAAAGGCAGTTCAGAGTCAACCACATTGCTGTGGGTCTGGAGTCACGTGTAGGCTAGACCAGGTAAGGATGACAGTTTCCTTCCCTAAAAAGGACATTAGTGAACGAGATGGGTTTTTCTGACAATTGACAATGGATTCATGGTCATCATTAGATTCTTAATTCCAGATACTTATTGAATTCAAATTCCACCATCTGCCGTGGCGGGATTCGAACCCGGGTCTCCAGAATGTTATCTGGGTCTCTGGATTAACAGTCCAGCAATAATACCACTAGGCCATCACCTCCCCAACGAGTCCACACCAGCCCTCCAAAGAACCTCCCACACCAACTTATCCCCCTACCCTATTCCCTGTAACCCTGCATTTTCCCATGGCTAACCCCACCTAGCCTGCACATCCCTGGACACTAGGAGCAATTTCAGCATGGCCAATCCACCAAACCTGCACATCTTTGGACTGTGGGAAGAAACCAGTGTACCCAGTTCAAACTCACACAAACACGGGGAGAACGTGCAAACTCCACACAGACAGTCGCCCGAGGGTGGAATTGAACCCGGGTCCCTGGCGCTGTGATGCAGCAGTGCTGACCACTGAGCCACAGTGCCACACTCAAGAGGGGCAGGTAGTGGGGAATCACTACCCCCTCCACAGCCCAATGCCTAAATTTGTTGACCACTTTAACTAGGCCCAGGAGCAAGCTTAAAATCCATTATCTCAACCACATTAGTTAGTTTATTCCTTCATTTAAATTCAAGGATATACAAATCCATTATTGTGGCCTTGTAACATTTCCCCTTTAGACACAGTAATATTCAGAGAAGTCTAACTGTACTGGTGTTCAAGCCTTGAGGTTGGCCAATGTCTTACCTCAGTGATTGACATCTTATCTGACTCAGAAATATTATCACACACCTCTGGAGCAGAGGCAACTTGAGCCTAGATCTCTTAACTCAGCAGTAAGAAAACTACCACAAGAGCTCTCTCCACTCATTTATACAGTGATTCATGCAGGTTACTTCAGATGACAGATGGGGAACATTTCACAAGTCAGCAGCTATCACAGCTGACTCTGATCAACATGTATATAAAATGAGTTAAAACCTTGCAGTTAATTTGTAAAATCTAAAGAAAGAAGTAGTCCAAAAGGTACACAATAAGCTGCACCAGGATCTCATTCTCAACTCATTCTATTTTCCTTCCTACATCAAACAGATCTCCGCTGCATGCTTGGAAGAGTTTACCGACCCTGCTGGCAAAACTGACCAACTGTTTAAGAGCCTCAAGATCCTTGGTGAAACTGTAACATCTATTATCTGACTGTTGTAACTGTGCATTCATAAGTGATTGAAACTGTGTACTTAGTCCTTCATGTGACTTATTCTCCATGCTTTAAACAGTGAAAGCTTTAAGCTGAAATTGCTCATTATTGAACTTGTTAGTGTATTTAAAAAGAAATAAAATTTTAGATTTTCTGCATTCATAATCACAAGAGTTGCCTGCATATTATATTTTGAAAATAAATTCACACTAATTACACGTGATCATGATTTCGACATTTGAAACACCTCATCTGGTTTTGAAAGGAGAACAGAAATAAAATCCTAAATCCTAAAGAAATTGGTGAGTTTTGATTGTCCAGGAATTAATTTATTTTTGGCCTTAGTTCGGATGGTCTTTGTGGTCTTCCCCATTTTTCCCTCCAGTGTGACAGGGGGACAACTACGTAATTCATTTTCACAGCCCGTATCACCATCCATTTCCACCCATTTCCGCTTTGACACCTTCCGGCTGCCTTTTTGATTTCCCATTTCCTCGTTCCTGGTTTTCCTGAGAATTGCTTCACATTCTTGTTTCCTTGGGGGTGCCGACTGCCCTGCGGATAGTGCTAACGTTTGACAGGATTCACCTTGTTGAAGAGAACAGAGAAGAGGAGGGATCCGTAAAATTAGACCATGCCAGGGAAATTCCAAATTTAAAATTATAAATAAGTTACTCAACATTTCTCCAGTGCAGTTATGGATGAGCCATAAACGTTGGCCAAACCGGTGAGTCACATCCCATGAATTTAGCCATGCAAAATTCTTCTGTACCTTTATGCAAAATTACTATTTTCAAAATTGCAGGTTGTTGCTGCTTGAAAGCCATAATATAAAGGAACAGAAGCAGGCCATTCAACCCAGAGTTGGTCTACCACTCAATGAGATGTTGGTTGGTCTGATCATTCAAAGAATGAGGGGGGGATCTTATAGAAGCCTACAAAATTATGAAGGGAGTAGATCAGATAGAAGCAGGGAGGCTGCTTCCAGTGGTGGGTGGAACTAGAACTAGGGGGCTTAGCCTGAAAATAAGGGGGAGCAGATTTAGGACTGTGTTGAGGAGGAACTTCTTCTCCCAAAGAGTAGTGAATCTGTGGAATTCCCTGCCCAGTGAAGCAGTTGAGGCTGCCTTAAAAACATTTAACAAGGTAAAGATAGATAGATAGATAGATTTTTGAACAGTAACAGAATTAAAGGTTATGGTGAGCAGGCAGGTAAGTGGAGCTGAGTCCATAAAAAGATCAGCCATGATTTTATTGAATGACAGAACAGACTTGATGGGCCAGATGGCCTCCTCCTGCTCCTATTTCTTATGTTCTTATCCTCAACTCCACTTTCCTGCCTTTTTCCCACAAGTCTGTTTAAAAAAAAATCTCTCTTTGTCTTGGATAGACTTAACGACCCAACCTTCTGCAGTAAAGAATTTCACAGGTTATTTCTATTATCTTGCTTAAGATCTGGAATTCCTAACTTAAACCTCTCTAATTCTCACTCCTCCTTAAAAACACAGCTGTTTGCCCAAGCTTTTGGTCATCTGCCCTAATGTCTGCTTCTGTAGTTCAGGATCTTTTTCATTCTCCCTGATAACTCTCCTGAAGAACCTTGGGATCTTTGACCAAGCTAAGGGGCTGCATAAATATATATTGTTGTTGTGTCCTTTGCTTCCTGACACTACCCAGCACACCCCCCACCCCCACCACCACCACCAACGCCCCCACCACCCCCCGGCCCACCCCGACTGGTGGAAATCATTTCTAAGCAGCCAATCAGACAGTTTCTGAGGTTGTGTATCATGACCCCATACAAAAGATCAAACCAGAGTTTAATACCCCCTAACATCAGGCCTCAACTGGCTTCCCAACAACTGGTTCACTCTCCCATGTAATTATCACCTGGGGAGATCAGAGAATTTACAGTCAAGGATCAGGTCAATCGGCTTTATGCAGTGTTTATACTTCATTGCAGCCGCCTCTCACTTAACTTTGTTCTAATTGCCACCAAGGCTAGTAAAATTTGAATTTAATAAAATTCCAGAATAAAAAGCTAGTCTAATGATGACCATCAATCATTAAACACCCATCTGATTCACTGAAACCCTTCAGGCAAGGAAATCTTCCATTCTTATCCAGTCTGGCCAACGTGTAAATCCAGAACCACAGCAATGTGATTGACTCTTAACCATCCTCTCAGCAATTAGGAACGAGTCATGAGTTTCTTTATTCATTCACAGGATGAAGGCGTTGCTGGCTAGGTAGCATTTATTGCCCATCCCTAACTACCCAGAACGTGATTAAGAGTTACCCACATTGCTGTGGGTCTGGAGTCACATGTTGGCCTGACCGCTCAAGGATGGCAGCTTGGGATTTTCCGACAATGGCTTCATGGTCATCATTAGACTCTTAATTCCAGGAATTCAAATTCCACCATCTGTCATGGCAGGATTCAAACCCAGGTCCCCAGGACATTATCTGGGTCTCTGGATTAACAATCCAGTGATAGTACCATTAGGCCATCGCTTCCCCTAAATGAGTAAATATAATAAAAACCTCATTGACATATTCTTCTAGCTTTTTCTCCTTGGTATGTTTATCCAGCTTCCCTTAAACAATCCATACTAACGCATCAACACACAGGATCAGGAGTAGGCCATTCAGCCCCTTGAGCCTGCTCCACCATTCAATACAATCGTGGCTGATCCGATTTCTTCCCATTCGTGCTATCCCTGATTATCTTTGGCCTCCTTGCTGATCAAGAATCTGTCTACATTTTCCTTAAAAGTATCCAAATATTCACCATGCTCTGTATGAAAAAAATTTTCACTTCTGTTTTAAATAGTGACACATCTTATTTTGAAACAGTGACCCTTGGTTCAAGGTTCTCCCAAAAGAGGAAATCTCTGGTGCATCTCAGGACCTTTTCCTGTTGCAATTAAGTCAGCCTTTATTCTTCTAAACTCCAGTGGATACAAATAAGGCCTGTTCAACCTTTCCTCAGGCAACCTGACCATTCCAGTTGCTATTTACCTCAACCACTCCGGTTCAAAGGTGTTCTGCTTTTTGGATTTAACAGCAACAGATACTGGACTACAGCAACACTAAACTACCAGCCCATGTTCTCCCAGAAACTGAAAAGAAAGGTACAAGTAACACATAACATTCCCTTTTAAAGCTAATTGCTGTATACAGCTAGTTGTCAAGCTTTGTACAATATTTAATCATCTGTGTACACACACCAGGAAGGAGCAGAAGTAACAAAAGTCAAAAGCTTTTGCATCCTTTTCCACTTTGTATCACACGTAAAGATCTGCATATTTACAATGGCACAGAAGATTTCAGCTGTAAACTTTGTACAAGGTTTCTCCGCAGACAATTAACTAACAAGTTGCTCTGGACACACAAGTTGTTGTGAAGAGAAAGATAACTCTACAGGGTTTCCCAGAGGTAAGAATTTGCACTATGACCATTGATGTAGGAGAATTAAAAGGGAGATATTGGCATTGCAACTGACAATAGCCAGTGATGACATGAAGACGCTGACAAGCAAAGATTATGGACAAAAAGTTTTCAACCTGGTAATTTTTATGCAAGAGATATATTTATGGTGAAATTCTTTTACCTTCAGTAGATTCATCATCACAGAAGATCGTGAGAACTGGTCTTGGTTCAGATTGGATACAAGTTGAAGCCTGGCCAAGGCAGGGATTACTAGAATGTTTGATGTTTGCTGTAGAATCCTCTTTATATGTACAAGAGAACTGTGACTTGATCAAAGTATGCTTCACCTGAAATATTCAAATAAAATGCCATTGGTGGCACTGAGCGCATAAAATTGTCCCATGTTATGGACCAGACCAAACTCCACAAAATATATTAAGAAGATGGCCTAGACCCCAACTTTTTTCTTTTTTTAAAAAGTGTAAGGCGTTGTGTTCCAGATGCAATTCCATTGCTCAAATTACCAGGCTTGAAGCAAAACACACTTTAAACATTATAGTTAAGATACAAATGAAAGAAAGAATTGGAATAACAACTCTATTGGAAACCTTAACAGAATAATAGATTATTCAACTACTAAACAGTAACTGTTCCAATATACTAACATCCTATAAACACACCTTTGGCAAAGGCAAATTCAGTGAAATGGATTGTCTCACATGCACATCAAGAGAAAACAGAGGGGGAGAACTCCAGCATTTTGCTGCAGCAGGGAGAGATATGTAGCAGCTTTCAAACCCCAAAGCTACTGAAAGTTAAACTAAAATCCTGGTTCTGTGGGAGCTTGACCCCACAATTTCATGCTGTTTCTATTGTTCCAACTTTTAAAAAAAACCCAAAACTAGCTACATTGTTAGGCTCAGAACAGTCAGATTGGCTCCAAGTTTACAACATTTGCTTTCAAACTAAACATAACAGAACAAATCCTTCTTAAAGGCCCATCTCGTAACACCTCCCCTCTTAAAAGAAAGAATGGATCATCAATATACAAAGGTGGCTTCATTAATACATAATTGCCACAAGTGCTTTAGATTAACAAATGGGTGAAATAGGCTTCATAGAAGCTAAACAGACAAGATGGTGACAACAGTGCTCCCTCAGCGCTGACCCTCTGACAGCACCGTGCTTCCTCGACACTGAACCATCAGCCTAGTTTATGCATCCCAATCTCTGCCCTGGGTCTTGAGCCTGTAGTCTTCTGAAACTGACAGACAGGTTGTGGAAAGCAAGGAGGAATAATATGCCACATTAGCAGACAGAAACAGCATAACTGGTGACAGACAAGACCATCTTAGCTCTGGTGATAATGTCCTATTCACTTCAGATTGCAGACCAAAAATTCAATCAAGTAAAGACAAGGAGCCTATCTGATGAAATAAATCTTCTGTGAAAGTACAGCAAGATCTGCCCAAGAACTGCTGGCAATCGCTTTAAAACTAGGAAAAAAATCTCTCTCCACACAATAAAACCACAACAAAATAGGAATATTTCTAAGAAAAGACAGTCAACCTTAAGACGAATATCAGTGGTAGTGCACAGCAGGATTTTACAATTGAAAATAACTATCATTGCTTTAACATAAATCGACCATATTAGCTTAATGTATTAAAGTTTAACAGTACCTTGGCAAGGTTTTCTTCCTGGATTTTTTTCTGAATGCGATGGCACAAGGGTTTTGGAGATAAGCCACTTGATTGAGTTGGAGACCTAGAATCAAGGTGATTTGAAAGGATTAACTGCAGACAGGTTAGGGAGGTGGCACTCTGTGATCCTGCTATGCAGTTTGCTCAGAGTCTACCATTGAAGTGCCAATTATCAGCCGCAATGCAAAATGGGAGAAGCTAAATATGGTTTCTTCTCGCTGATGTGTTGGTTATGGTTGGCAGGGAGTAGGGAGGGGGGAAATGGTTTGTTATAGTGCCAATAAACAGTAGTGTCAGGAGGCACAGTAAAACAGAACTGAGGTGCTTCAGCAAATATTAACGTAGAGTCCAGAATATTGCTTTAAACCAAAGGTAGGTCTCAAGAAGTTAATTAAAGGGAGAGGGAGAGACACTCATCCACTAGTTGCCCTTGAGAAGGTGGTGGTGAGCTGCTTTCTTGAACCGCTGCAGTCCACATGCTGTAGGTAGACCCACAATTTTGACCCAGCCACACCAAACGACTGGCAATATATTTCCAAGTCAGGATAGTGAGAGGCTGGGAGAGGAACTCCCATTGACGAAGGGTTGCATAGCACAGACTTCTGTGTTCTTTGTATATAGACTGTAGAATGCCACCGTGACTCCAAGTCAGTTCAGAGTCACAAAGGACTTGGGGACCAAATCCATTCCCAAAACTTGAGCATACAATCCAGGCTGAGCCTCTCAGGGAGTGCTGCACAGTCAACTATTAGCAGAGACCAAAAACATTTCTGCTTTCCTAGGCGGATGTGAAAGCGACCGTGACAATACCTTGAAGAACAGGGAATTTCTCCCTGGTATCCTAGACAATGGTCATCCCTCAACCAACATAATTAAATCAAATTATGGGGTCAGTAGTGGAGAGTTTGCTTTGTGCTAATGACATTGTTTCTATCTTTCCAATACTCCAACTGTGGCAGCATTTAAGAAATACTTTATTGGCTGTAAAGCACTTTGAGATGGAATGTTCTTTTCTCATTAATAAATCCTTGACTGAAATGTAAGCGGCTTCATACCTAAACAGGGTCAGCATGCATGGAATTCCAATGATGTTCGCATGTTGTTCAGTGCCGTAGAGCAGCTCAGCCTTGCCTTCACTTGGTGGGTGAGCTGCTTCTTCATCCAGCAGAGCTATCAAAGCTTTCACCGTTCTCCGACCACCGTATGCCGTAGCATGGTTGATAGCATAAACCTTGGGCTAACAATTATTTTAGAAAAAGTATTTACCAAAGGAAGGAATAAGACCAATTGCAAATTAAAAAAAAACAGGAGACCATTCAGTCCAGTCCATCACATGTGTGCTGTTTGCTGGTGCTGTCCTAATCAGTGCCACCCCCACACTTCTTGCCCCAAAGCCCTGCAAATGTTTGCTTTTCATGTATTTAATCATTTCCCTTTAATATTGAAACTACTCCCACTGCCTTCTAAGGCAACAAATTCCAGATCCATAAATTGAGAAAGACGATATGTGAACATGCAAAATAGGAGGAAGGCTATTTGGCTCCTCAAGTCCACTTGGCCATTCAATAAGATTATGGCTGATCTGTATGGCATTTATTCACTCATGGGAATCCCTGCCTGGACCAACACTTGTTACCCGTCCTTAGTCACCCTTGAGAAGGTGGTGGCAGTCCATGTGCTGTGGGTAGACCCACAATGCTGTTAGGGAGGGAATGTGCTGAATTTTACTCCCCCACCTGGCCCCAATAATCTTCAATTCTCCTGCCACCAGGAAGTTTACACCTTATAAAAATATCTCAGTAAACTCTGCAAACATTGGGCCATCTTCTACAGTGATTGGAACCATGACCAGGTAGATCGCATTGACTATGAGATCCCTGATTGGGGTTGTTAACCTGGGCCAATCAGGGAATCCTGGCTGATAGGTATTAACAGGCGATTCTAAAAGGTCTCCTCAGTCGAGGGACTTGGTTTGAGAGCTCACTGGTCACAGCCCATGTACAGTGCACATGTAAACAACGGGTGACTTAGTGACAGGATACCAGCCTCTGTCCAGTTATTTCACCTTCCAAATTTCCTTTTGCTCACCATTCTCATTTCTTTTCCATCTCTGTCTACATGTGTAGTAGGAAGGAATTTTATATGGGGCTTCAAGCTTCAACAAGTACAAGTATATGTCAACAATTCATCATTATTTGTCTGTAGCTGAAATCTATTTATTTGCAATTCTCGCTAAGTATTCTGTCCCGGTCTGTGCTTTCTGCAAACCTGGGTCTAAAAGACAGGGAAACTGGGGAAGGCTGTGTTCTTTTTTAAATCTTTAACTTGTGTGATGACACCAGGAATAGTGGGGCTTCATTCCCAGCGCACTACCTCTGTGAGGTGTAACAATACAAGAGATTTAAGATGGGCAGTAAGGGAATCCTTTTCTTACTTCACTGAAACACTAATACCCCTCCCCATTTATACAGCCACCTGATAATTCTGTTAACTGCAAAAAAATCCCAGCAGGGTTTGTACAGGTCTGGTGCTTCCAGATTGAACTTTACTCCATTCCATTTTCTCTCCATTACTAACTTCATAGAATTTCAATTTACAATGCAAAAACATAAAGAACACCTAAACTGAAGGCTTCAAACTTAAATACACTTTGGAACAGTAATTTAGTAAGAGTCAAATTTTTGGCCAGTAGCAGGAATATCTGACAGATAATTTGAAAGTCAATGACAGAGCTTCTACATAGAGCGAGAGTGTTGCTAAGTGATTTTAAGGATCTTTAAGTCAGTAAGCTCATCTTTTGTTGCATAAATACTGAATACATTTATCCAAAAAGTCAGGCTGCGCTACTAATCCAGGGATTAACTCAAATCCCTGGGAGATATGTCATGATAAGGAAATTTGGACAAAGCAAAGCAATGGGAGATTGATCAGAAAGGGCTATTACCCGTGCAGGACTGATGTCAGTCGTCATTTCATCTGTGGACTCATGCTGACAGTTGACGACATTATTAATCCTCATTGTTAGATCTTCTGAGATCTCCTCAGCAGCCAGACAGAATTGGCTTTCATTGCTTTTACCCTTCAACAGTCGTCTTTTGATGCAGGACAGGATCTGACCAGCTGCAATACTAAAAAACAAAGACATTATCCTTTCGCTCTGTCCCTGGCCAGTCTGCCCTCCATGGTCAACAACTGCTCCAAAGTGCTGCTGCCTGTATTCTAACTTACACCAAGTCCTATTCAGCTATCATCTGGGCACTCTCTAACTTAGATTGGCTTCCGATTGATAAACGACTTGACTTCAAAATTCCAAACTGGTTTTCAAATCCCTCCTTGGCTTCTCTCCTCCTATCAATGTAATGCCAACCCTCTGTGATCACTGTGTTCCTCCAATTCTCCCCTCTTGGGCACCCCGCCATGGTGATCACTCCACCACAGTAGCCAAATGTGAAAATCCCAGCAAAAGCTGATGGGAATTTCAATTAAACCTAGAATTAAGAAAGCTTTAGTTCAATGGAGAGTACAGGAGGGCATGCCAGGAGCAGCACCAGGTACACCTCAAAGTGAGGTGTCAACCTGGTGAAACTACAGCATAAGCAGCAAGTGATTGACAGAGCGAAGCAAATTCACAGGTCACATTTGACCTCTGCAGTCCTGCCATGTTAAGTCATGAATAGCAGTGGCCAATTAAACATGGAGTGGAAACTGGAGGCCCACAAATCAGGACAAATCCAACCACCAATTACTGCCCCTTCAGCTTATGCTCCATCAGCAAAACAGATGAATGATCATTGACAGGGCACTTATTGGATAATAATCTGCTGACAAATACACTTTCACATCCCGTGAAAACAAAGAATAAAGGGGAAAAAGACCCTTCTCCATGCAGGATGGTGGAAGTCTCTTGGCAAAATGCAGGTGTTTACTGAATCAACTCCAAATTGGAGATTGGTAGGTTGTTGTTACCCAAGGGGATAGAAGGAGCTGAAGCCAGACTTGATGGATGGAGTTTGGATACAGATCAACCATGACCTCATTGAGCATCAGGACAGGCCCGAGGGGCTGAATGGTCCCTTATGCTCCAAAAGCTTGTGCTTTGATCATCTCTTTCTGGATTCAGTTAAATTTACTCTGATGTCTATGATTTCATTACTTTAAAAATCCACTGAAACTACTCTAATTGGAATACAGCAACAGAGAGAGGAGAGAGAGAGAGATACACAGAGCGAAAGACAGAGATGGAGTGGATTGTGAGAGAGTGACAGACACATCCAGGGACAGAGCAAGAGACACACACACAGGGAGACAGCCATATACAGAGAGAGACACAGACAGCAGGGCAGTGGCACAGGCACACACAGAGCAGGGGACACACATACACAGACAGAAAAAGAGAGAGAGAGAATGCATGCGAGAGGAGAGATAAACAGAGAAGCAGATAGAGAGAGAGCCTATGGAACCTTTCTACAATGATACAGAGCTCCTTATCCAGTGAATGTTGAACAAGTTCAACACGGCAATAACCAATTTACGAAATTTTTTAAGAGTGGTGATAAGAATGATGATAAGAATTTGACAGTTTTCCATCATCTATCTGATTTGTTAATTCAGGAAGGTCTGCTACCCCTTACCCAGTTTCGATCTTCAGACCTACATCACAGGACCACCATCTGAATAAGCCTGATTAGCCTCAGCTTATAAAAGCGATCATCTCCTCTGGGCAACATGGGATAATACAGTGATAATTCTGGACTCTTCAATTCGGTGAAACAACCTTTCAACTGCCAATCCAATTAACTGAGAATTAGGTCTTTCAAATAGCTCATCTCTCAATCTTCTAAACTCCAGAGGATGGAAGTTACTGACTTCAAGCAAGATCCCACTCATGTCAAGAATAAATCTAGTCAAGAGATTGTCTGGTTACAATTTCATGGCTGCTGGTGGATCATGCTCTGCCTCCTACACTGACTGCGAAGCTCACTGGAATGTACTGGGGCTCTCGAAAGGCACTACACAAATGTAAGTCTTAAATGCAAAGGAATTGTCTAAATGATAGATAGACATGCACACACATCTGCTCACTGCAATTTACTCAAATTACTGCAGAGAAAATTTTGATAAAGTAATGATTATGCTTAAAAGACAAAATGAAAAATAAAATAATGGCTGTTTGCAGGATTAAAATTTTGGTGCTTTATGTGCAGGCGACTGTGAAAGTGGTGGTTGGTTCGGGAAAGGACATGATAGTACAACCTGGCAGAGCTCGACCCTGACCTCCTAACACTGAAGCATTTTGGCCAATTCCAAATTGTGTAATAATTGACAGTTTATAAAAAAAAAATAAACCAAATGCAAGGTGCACTCAGATTCTGCTGCTGTCCCTCAGCATTACTGGGAATTCAGGGCAATGTCGCAGTTCTGATCATTTAAAGAGAAATGCAAATAGAACCAATGAGTTTGCCAAGCAAAACAGTAGAAGATGGTCACAGCATTCACTATTTCTCCTTCCCAGTCGCTTGTATTGGACTCAAGGCACAAGCCATTGGAGTCACTTGCAAAAGATACTGTTTCAAAAGATTTACATTCATATAACACCTTTCATATCTCAAATTGTGACAATGTATTTTACAGCCAATAAAGCTTAGTCATAATGCACAACCCAATTTGCACATAGCAAGCTCCCACAAACAGCAAATTAACAATGGCCATTACTTCGGTCATGACTTCAGTGGAGGGATAAATATTGACCAAGACTCCAGGGAGAATGGTCCTCCTCTGTTTGTGTCAATGGATCTCTCATGCCTACCTGAAGGAGCAGCGCTCCAAAGCTTGTGATTTCAAATAAACCTGTTGGACTATAACCTGGTGTGGTGTGACTCCTGAGTTTGTCCACCCCAGTCCAACACTGGCACCACCTCATCAGGGCAACAAACTCAATCATTTCAATCATAGCTTTGTTTTTCAGAGATCAGTTGTTGACAATGATCCTTCTGTCACCATTCACACCACATTTAGCCCCATCTTTTGTTCCTTTATTTATCCCATTTCTGCTTCACATCTTCGTCATTCAATCTCTTTTACCCTCAACTCTACCATAAATGCTGTCAGAAAACCACTAAGGACCTAATTTGATCAGTGCTTGCAGCCTCCACATCCTTCCAGCTATTCAGCAATGGTAGGCACATCACCCTGCGATACATCCACTGACATGCTGCCCTGTCCTTGCATGACAACATGGCACAATGGACATGAATGAAACAAAGCAGAGCCAGCAGAGAGTGTCTGCATTTTCTGTGTCTGGTAATGAGATAGTTGTCTACAGCTTTTCACTATGATGGAGCCCATGACCCAGCAGTGGTGAATCAGCAGTGTCACTGGGCTAGCAATCTAGAACGTGAAGCTAATATGGGTTTGAGTCCCACCATGGCAGATGGTGACATTTGAATTATTCAAAAACAATCGGGAATTAAAAGCCTAATCATGATCACATAATCTCTGCAGATTGTTGAAAGAGCCCATCTGGTTCACTGATGCCCTTTGGGGAAGGAAATCGGTTATCCCTGCTCGGTCTGACCTACATGTGACTCCAGACCCACAGCAATGTAGGTGATTCTTACATGCTCTCTACAGTAGCTCACAAGCCACTCAGCTGTAATTAATGTTTATGAAGCCTAAACAAAAGAACTAAACCAGATGGACTATCTGGCATCGACACAGGCACTGGAAACAACAATAGCAAACTCAGTCCTGTCAACTCTGCAGAATCCTCCTTAGCAACATTTGGAGGCAAGTGCAAAATTGGGAGCGCTGTCTCACAGACTAGTCAAGCGGCAACTTGACATAGTCTGTAAGGTATGATTCTGAGACCACGGCTATGTCCCAGACACCACCATCATCATCTCTGGATCTCTCATGTCCCACCTGGCAGGATAGACCCAGCAGAGGTGGCAGCACAGTGGTACACAGTAGGGAGGGAGTTGCCGTGGGAGTCCTCAACATTGACTCCGGATCCCACAAAGACACCACAACCTGTCAGTTTCATAGAACATAGAATGGTACAGCACAGTACAGGCTCTTAGGCCCACGATGTTGTGCCGAACTTTTACCCTAATCCTAAGGTCTATCTAACCTCCACCCCTACCTTATACTATCATCCATTTGCCTATCTAATAGCCGCTTAAATGCCCCTAATGAGGCCAACTCCCCTACCACTCTTGGAGTAAAGAACCTACCTCTGACGTCTCCCCTATATCTACCTCCACTCACTTTAAAACTATGTCCCTTCGTAATAGCTACCTCCACCCTAGGAAAAAGTCTCTGGCTGTCCACTCTATCTATACCTCTGATCATTTTGTACACCTCTATCAAGTCACCTCTCATCCTTTGTCTTCTAAAGAGAAAAGCCCTAGCTCTCTCAACCTTTCCTCGTAAGACCTTCCTTCCATTCCAGGTAACATCCTGGTAAATCTCCTCTGCACCTTTTCCAACGCTTCCACATCTTTCCTGTAATGAGGCGACTAGAACTGGACACATTACTCCAGATGTGGCCAAACCAGGGTTTTGTATAGCTAGAGCATAACTTCGTGGCTCTTGAACTCAATCCCTCTATTAATGAAAGCTAACACACCATACGCCTTCCTAACAACTCTATCCACCTGGGTGGCAGCTCTCAGGGAACTGTGGACATGAGCTCCAAGATCCCTCTGCTCCTCCACACTGCCAAGAATCTTTCCATTAATCCTGCTTTCAAATATTTGTCCTTCCAAAATGAATCACCTCACACTTTTCAGAGTTAACCTCCATCTGCCACTTCTCAGCCCAGCTCTGCATCCTATCAATGTCCCTTTGTAACCTAGAACAGCCCTCCGCACTATCCACAACTCTTGAAGTTTCCCTTGAAGTCATTCACTGTCTGGACTTGGAAATATATCGTCCATTGCTGGGTCAAAATTCTGTGACTCCTTCCCTATCAGCACTATAGGGCTGCCTATGCCTCATAATTTGCATTGGTTCAAGGAGGAGGTTCATCAACACCTTCTCAAGGGGCAATTAGTGCTGGACAATAAATGCTGGCCTAGAAAGATGTCCCACAAATGAAATAAAAGAAAAATCATGGAGCAGATCAAGC